TGGTCACTGCCAATGGGAACCAACGGGAACCAATGAGAACCATTGGGAACCCATTCAGGTTCCAACTGGAAAAATAATTCCAGTTGGTGAGACCCATTGGCCAGTGCGGTTCAAGCTGGAACCCGCTAAAACCAATTGGTTCCAGTTAAAACCAGTTGGAATTCCAATTGGATTTAATGGGAATTTTCAGCTGGGCACAAGTTTGCCCCACTATATGTTTATTTCTTCCTGTTTATTTATTGGTTTTTTGGTCACCACCCATGACAATATCACCTTGTGTAGTTTCGAGGCATAGCTCCATTCCTGCGAAAAATCAGATCAACACCCTTGATGTTTTCAACGTCAAGGGTGCGTCAAGGCAGATGACCCGTATGCCCGAGAGCATGTGGTTCTAGCACAGCGACTCGGTTGTCTGCATCAATGCCCCCTAATAAAAATGTCAAGGTCGTTACAGATTTTTATTACTGCAGCTACTGACCTTTTGTGGTGAAATTTGGTGCTGTTCAAATGCGAAAACTTACGCGATCACGGAAAGAGGGCGGCAGCATTCCGCTGCACTATCACTCCCTCCCGCTCATTGTCATTCCTCACACAACCACATCATCTCTGATTAAACACCCTCTTCCCCCCTTTGCTGCTGTCGATGCGGGGTTCTTGAAAGTCCTCCGCACGTCTAGAAAAAGGCAAAGAGGATGCGTCAATGGCAGGCTGGGCCGGCCGCAGACAACGAGCTGCGGAGCATGTAGCGGATATAAAGAGGCGAAGGCGGTGGAACCCGCACAATGTCCTTTTCTTCACTGCAGGACAGCCGAATTTCAGGGGGCATCCCTCGACAGCCCCTTCGGCTACTCGTGCGACGTGTACGAGTGCTTGCAGTTTCCGAGATCGGACGTCCGCACAATCCAAGCACGTCTTGTTTTGGTCCAAGAGCACCCAGGCCAAAATGTGGGTCCGGACATTTCGTCGAACGCCGTTTCATCGAACACCGTTTCATCGAAGCCGTTTCATCGAACACCGTTTCATCGAACGCCGTTTCATCGAACACCGTTTCATCGAAGCCGTTTCATCGAACGCCTTTTCATCGAATGCTGTAACAGCCTGCAATATTTTTGCAATTTATTTTGATTTTTATACACAACGTCATCTAACTCTCCTTTTTTTTTAAATCACAGTATGCAGTGACGAGATAAGTTCCATTGTGAACATGTCCTGTTTCGAGAAGAAAGCCTCCATGAAACAATGACCCCTCTCCATGTCATATAAAACAATTGAAAATGAGAGAAAAAGAAAGAAAGCACGATGTGCTTTCTGGGAAGCGGGTAGTGTTTTATTGTTTGACAGCGTGTACCTGTAACCTTGGGTTATGTGAGGATCCGAAAGGGTTCTGTCTTCTTGGGTGACAGAGTACACTCGGGGCTTTACTAATGTCTGGTGCGGGTTGGCCTTCCTAAGAAAGCGCCCTGAAGATGATTCATAGGCAAAAGGGTCGGTAATAAAGTTGACAGTGAAGGGGAGGTGGTTCCAGTCCAGGTGTAGCCCGAAATCATGTTGGCTGACACTTTGTGCAGCTTTTGACTCTGTAGAGTTTGAAAACTTAAAAAAAAATAAAAAAAAAGCAGAAACGTTCAATTTGAGCATAAAGCTGATAATCAGAGTATCGTTATATCTTATTTCGTGTGCTCTCCTGGCAAAGTATCGTTTTATTATAAGCGTGCTGCCCTGGCAGTTAAATGTTTTTCGTGAATAAACCTTCAACTAAGCGTAAGTGTGCAAATGAGCTGGTGTGAATGGCACATTACCGAAACACCCGTACAGCCAAAAAAAAACAACATACAGACATTCAAAAGTGTTTTAAGTGTCGGTCCTTTACCTCCAGTGTCATGCTTTCTGACAGGTACATGAGTAAAACTTTTCAGCAAGTCGCATACCCATTTGTTTTTATACCAATGATTTTTATTTCTAGTAATTTGGCTCCACCCTAAAGACAGTTTCACAAGTGACTACCTTAGTCTTAACAAATGTAAGGTAAAACATCTATAAAGCACTGTTATGCCCCAAAACTCGATACAGAGAAATTCGATGAAACGGCCCTTAGCGATTCGATGAAACGGCGTTCGATGAAATGGCGTTCGATGAAATGTCCATTCATTCGATGAAACGGCGTTCGATGAAACGGCGTTCGATGAAATGTCCGCTACCCGCCAAAATGGCCGTAGTTTCTCAAACTGCATGATATGCAAGTCTGCCTCGCAAAAGGAAGCAGCACCGTACCAGCTGTCTACTAAAAACAAGTCTCCTAAAGTGCGTCTTTCATCAAGGCAACAGCTACAGCTGTCAATCGCAGCACACTTTGGGAGGTTGTTTAAATTTTTTTACAGAAACGCATCCATGCTTAGAATTTTCACGAGGTAAAATCCAGCACTAAAATACTCCTTTGGCAACAGTTGGAGCTCTTCATATTCAGGTGCTAATTTTTTCAGCTCATTTTACAAGAAACCTTGATTCGTAACACACTACACTTAAACGAACTGTCATGGGATGGCTAATCTCCTAGCTTGCTTGAGCTGTAGGAATAGAGCAATACGCAGCAACCCCAAACTACTTCTAAAGACATCAAAACGAAGGCAATCCCAGAATTGCTCCTCTTCACTTCTCGCAACATAAGGTAAGAATGTCTCCAGGAGACTGTACCTTGCATGTTCACTCATGAGTGCCGCATGTCACCCGTTTTGTCACTCGCACAATATTCCTTGTCAAAGCAAGGTCTAGAGAAAAATCTGGCAGTGGTGCTACATCTCGTTGAAACATAATTTGCACCGACCTTGTGCCCAAACTTTATATTTTTCCTTCCTTAAAAAATGGACCAAAACTAATAACTTCTGTCGTGCTTTGTTGCTGGGTCTTTTATATGATTGGAATGTGGGAATATTTTAAGCCTTTTCATCCTGCTCTGGATAAAGTGATAACTGATTGGACCAGGGTTCTCCCCTAAAATATTTGAGATGTCGACTAATGACAATTTCCAGGGTGTTGGGAGGGGGAAATCGCTGCAACTTTTGGTGTTCACCGCACAGCGGCGATTTTGTTCACGGAGTATGCAGTTCTGTTGCATAGTGCCACACAGGTCTGCCAATTACGACAAACCGGGGCACCGTGCATTTTCAAAATCAGCACCATCTTGTCCAGCGGAGGCGAAACATAGAGGTGAGTTGGACATATAGAGATGGGCAGTCGGCCACACCGCTGGGCGGCAGAACCACTGCCGCCCACTGTGTGAAGAAGCCTGGAATGGAACCTTGTACTACAACATTTTGCAAGTTTGCCTATAGTTCAAAGTCTGTTTGGGCGAGCTATACCTTATTTCACCTAGAGTGCAGACGCAGACGGCACTATGAGCTGATGGGAACAATCGGACAGTGTCGAAGTGTACCACCATGGTGTTTTTCATGTTTCCCCAATTGTTCTATCATCGCTGAACCAATCAGAAACAGAAAAGGCCCAGTGACTTGCACTTTTAATGCCGCTTGATCGGTCCCATTACCTCGTAGCGTGGGCTGCGTCTGGACTTAAGCTGGAGCTAAGTATAGTTGGCTTCATTGAGTGCACTCTCCACGTGGCTTCCGATCATTGCGGGGAAGCAGTTTGTCACGGAGCAGGCACCGTGGGAAGCACGATTTGTTTAGTCTGTCCTACTTCAGACAGAGCACAGCGTGCATTCTGTGCACTGCATTGCATACGAAAAATCGCGGCAACGTTATTGTCTCGTTGCACTTCTACGAGTACCTACAACGGCGATCACATTCATTTGCTCTCTATGTTATCGGAATGAAACCTAAGCCGAACTAGAGCTGCAGATAGAAAAAAGAAATCACTTTGCAAGGAGCATGTTTTGTATGTGACGGAGGTTATATTTGCGTTAGTGGAAATCTGATGCAACCCTGCGTATCTGCTGCTTGTGGCTCCTTGCTCTGTCGGTTTGCTGCAATACAAGTACATTTGTAGGAGAAAAGCAGGGTAGGAGGGTGCACACAGAGGCGTGGAGTGTTCAATCCCCACCCCTGCCCGTTTCAATCTGAATGAGCATCGTACCGGCGTACGGTCATGTTTCACTACTGCGTGGTGCATGTTAAAGACCCGAGGCTAGCGGTTGGACTGCGCTGGCTAAATTGCTCCTCTACAGCGAGTGACTCGTCGCAACTTTGAAATGGCTGACCAACTACATGCTGTATAAATATCCACACAACCCCAATTATTGGGGTGTTCTTCCAGTGCGAGACATTTGTAAGTTGCCCGCTTTAACATATAATACTACTATATGAGCCTTGTAGATGTTTATATGACAAGTATCCCTCCCAACTGAAATGTTTGAAAGAGAATTGCACCTATTAGGGTGGAGTGCACATTCTAAGGCAGGGGCGCACAACATGCGGCCCGCAGACATGACGCTGCAAGATGTGCTCAAGACGGCAACCAGTACAATGATGCCAGATATTGAAAACCTGTCTGCCAGTTATTCAAAACCTGCGTAGTTCCCAATAAACATTTTTTTTTGGCCCATGTCATTCTTGAGCTGTGCAGCCCTGTTCCAAGGGGAAAAGTGTCTCGGAGACGGAATGACGGAACCAACGTGCAATTCACCCGGCCGCTGTTCCTAATTTCTGGGACCTGAATTTCTCACAAGCAGCACATGTCAGCGTTTCAATGCCTTCCACACATACATTGTATTTTCAAGTAATAAAATTTTAAAATCTTTTCCCACATTATATTAGCCAGTTTTTTTTGGAAAAAATTAAGTGGCCACATTTTGATGAGTCATTGCTTCATATGCAAATTAGTTAGGAAACTTAAAGCATTGGCACGAATCCTTTGAAAACTGCTACTTTTCCCATGGTCAGTAAATAGTTGGGGACAGCCCTTTAATTTAGAGATAACATTTAACACCACCATAAGGATAAGTCCACAGGCAAAATGCAATTGAAATGCGCCATCGGACGACAAAACATGGTTTCACAACCTTGGTTTAATTCGTAAAACGGCTATAACAAATCAACAATACATACTTTTTACACGACCTTCACACATATGTACAGGGTGTAGGGAGTGGTCATTAGAGTGCGCCAAGTCAGCGACCCATCGGCGGCAGACTTGGCGAGAGAGAAACGGCCCGTGAACGAGTCGGACCGGTGCAGACGCGGAGGCATCCCGAGCATCTCTTCAGGCGTTGGGGAAGTTGAAGGCGCTGTAGGCAAGCAGCCCCGGGTGTTCCTCCTGCACCCTGCGCTGGCAGTGGTGAGCGCTCACCAGCAGCAGGATGCCCCAGACTAGGGTGAGGAGGCTGAAGACTGCCGACGGGTACAGGTTACCGCTCTCCAGGGAAAACTCTGCAACGGCAACACGCGAGGCGCCTAAGCAAGTCGTCGACCTCTACTGTAGTTGCAGACAGAGCGACTACGTCAAGGCACGTCTTTCGAATGCCCTACTTCCGGCACATGCGGTGCGCTCGAAGAGCACGAGACTTCGAATCACTGTCGAAGGTAGGAAGCTCGTGCCAGAGGCGGGACAACCGGGACTCCTCCCTGCCATTCCCACCTTATTAGGGGCTAAAGGAAATCGGATGCAAGGTCACGTCTAGACCCTTAAAAAAAACTATCTTGAAAAAGAAAAAAAAAAAAAAATACTAGTTAGGCGACTTTTAGAGCATCTTTATCCCGCGAATCTAAATATCACATTAGTCTTCCCCAAAGATGTAACTAAATGCAAAAAACACGACAAACTGCCGACCAGTTATTGCATTGCACTAGGATCTTTTGGCTGCCGAGCACGCGTCGCTCGTGTGGGCAGCATGTGCATTTGCAAGCTTGCCAGGTATAATCTCCCGCACCAATCGCAACGTCTTTTTCCGACTTTTTTGCGAAATAGCAAGAGTGCACGTGCGTAGCCTTGATAGGCGCTGAACCAGCATTCCTTGCAAACTTCTTGAACATACAATTTTTTCTCACCTCATCAACTTCTTAGAATCTAACAACTTCTTCAGCAATGCCCAGGAAGGTTTTCAAAAACCATTTTCATGTGAGACCCAACTACTATCTTTCACGAATGACCTACATCACATTCTGGACCGAGGATCCCAGGCGGACTGCATTTTCCTGGATTTCGCCAAAGCATTTGACAAAGTTTCTCACAATCTTCTGCTTCTAAAACTTTCCAAACTTAACATAGACAATAACGTTCTCGCATGGATAAAGTCTTTTTTAACTCAACGGTCTCAATTTGTCACTGTGAATAACAATAACTCCTCTTTTGTCAAAGTTGCGTCAGGGGTTCCGCAAGGGACAGTATTAGGGCCGTTGCTATTCTTAATTTATATTTACGACCTACCCACTTATGTCTCTTCATCCGTGTCTCTGTTCGCTGACGACTGTGTACTTTACCGTGAGATTCTCGATCATAATGACACCTGTATACTCCAATCCGACATTAATGCTATTTACCGTTGGTCTGACTCGTGGTCCATGAAGTTTAACACTAACAAATGCAAGGTCATGCGTGTGTCTCGCCAGTCTCAGGACTGTCCTTACTATTTCCTTGATAATGCTCATCTAGAACTGGTATCTTCGTACAAATATTTAGGCGTACATATAGCCTCTAACCTTTCATGGAAAACACATATTCAGCATATTTCAGCTAACCGCATGTTAGGTTACATCAAGCGAAATTTTTCATTAGCCCTTGTCTCACTGAAATTAACTTTTTACTAAGTTTTAATTCGTCCCAAGTTAAAATATGCAGCTTCTGTCTGGGATCCCGGACTAGTCACTCTTGTATCTACATTGGAAGCCGTTGAGAACAGATCCGCTCGTTTCATCCTCACAAACTATCACCTTACATCGTAAAATTTCTCGTCTTTCCCTATTCCATAAAATGTATCACAATAATTCTTTCCTGCGCGACAAAATAATTGCTCGGCCTGTATGTTTCCTCCCGTCTTGATTATCAACATAAGGTGGGCATTCCTAACTTTATCACAACCACGTTTTATTCATCTTTCGTTCCCCGTACATCCCAGGAGTGGAGCCACCTTCCCCGGTCAATTGCCATTATCACTGACTCTGAGCTCTTTAAAAGTACAATAACTAATTACTTTATTACTGAGTGTGTCTAATATGTATTATGTTATTTGCATTAACCTTCTTGTTGCTCTCCCCCTCTGTAATGCCTTTGGGCCCTGAGGGTATAATATATGAAATGAAATGAAGATGCGCGAGAGCGGAGGTTCCCTAAAACTCCTGTTACATTGTCATGCTCTGGGAAGGAGGGGTTTTAACAGTACTTTGAAAATAATTTTCTGTGGCCTCTGTGCACCAAAATTGAAATAATCTCAATATTCATGATCCTGGAGGCCAAATGAAGACTATTGAAGTGTTTTTACTCAGATACAGCACCGCTTCTGCTTCCCTGCACATCTGCATTGGAGCATGCCCCCTCGTAACTGCTCGCGGCGAGAGAACACTTCGACACACTGGTGCCACCTGGTATTGGGTAGCCCCCAAGCATCTACGCACCAGCCGTGAGAAAGGTTGCTTGCAACATTTCAAAGTTATTTTCAGCCGACCGTGAAAATTTTTGTCACTCAACGAGAAAAGGATATGGGATCTTCCGCAAGCATTTCTAAAGGGATGCGAAACTAGCAGTCTAAATGTAATGGCACCAAATTATTCCTAACCATCGCGGCACAAAGGCAGGTTCTTGGCTGTTTATAATAATTATGTGGCGCCATTCGATCCGAATCTGAGGGCTCGGTGGGCCGAAGATGTTGGTATGGAATAAAGGTTCGTGACGGCAGTGCTTCTGGTAAATGCTACATCAATCGAGAAGGCTCCACTCTTTTCCTTTCGCTTCTAGTGGGCAAGCCCGTTGGCAAATAATGTGATGCGCAGCACCAGTTGAGCAGTGCTCTGTGCTTGATCGCACGGTCGCCTTGACCAGGTGTACAATTCTAGTCTCTGGAACTACTAATCACCGAGCAGAATTGAAGAAACATGTTTCACGGCATACCCAAAATGCCGTCACGCCTTAGGAGCTACACTGACTGTTTTTCGTTTTTTTTTATTGGGTTGCCATGAAACAATTGTTTGCCTCCCAATCTTCGAGGGCAAGGTTTTCTTACAATAAGTGCCAATGACAATCACGCTTTTGGACGTTGGTGACCAGGGGCGGATGCAGGTATTTTCAGAGGGGAGGGTAAGTGTACATGTTTAAGAACACTCCCCCCTCACTTAATTTTTACCCATGCAAAATCCAAGAGGGGGGTGGGACATCTGTACCACCCCACTGTTGGTGACGAGCATAGTAGTGCACTACCTCAGGCTTACCTACCCAATTTGTTGGTAGCAATAAGGTTGATTGAAGAGGTAACTGAAATTCTGCAATCTGTTTGGATAGCTCGGTACATCAGGAACTGTACTACAGCACTTTACGATGGGGATTTGTCTCGGCGAATGCAATCCCCACAGTCCTTGCGGGCATCTTACCCTGACCCCTTGTGACAACCAGTGCAAAGTATGTTCCGGAGGCGACTACACTGATGCTGGACGCAATAATCCCCAGGACTCTGAGGCCTCCAAGAGTGCTCTTGTCGTGCCACACGTCCAGCCTCTTGCAGAGGTGCAGTATTTGCAGGTGTAGCACTCCTGCAGCAAAGATTCCTGCAAACCAAAAGGACACTGATATGGGTCTTGGGTTGCACCACGTTTATGGAACAAAAATACCGCGCCGTGTGAAACCTGAATCCCGTGTGACCTCGTATCTCCTGCTTTTCACGGAAATGTGCTATGTGTGGTTGACCCTTTCCAGGCAACAGCTGGGGGCGTAAACCAACTTTCGTTGCTTCGTGTTTTAGCGAGACAATACACGAGGGGCTTATACCCTTATCTAGCATAAGAACACAACAATTACACAAAGAAAAGGAACCCGAATATATGAAAATTAAGTTTACAAACGCGTTTTTTTTTTTTTTTTTTTTTTTTTTTTTTTTATATTTATTTTGGCAGTTTTGTTTACTCTCGGAGCTGCTGAGGGCGCGGTCGCGCAAAACTCACTTCTGAATTAACACGAGGCGCGTGCCCTTCAAGAGCTCAAGAAATCTGAAGGGTGCTCGAAGGTTTTTCCTTTGTTTCGAGACGCAGATTAAAAGGCTCGAGGCTCGAGTGCGCGGCTTCTTTCTCGTGCTAAAATGCGCGATAAAGGGCGCAGAACGCAGAGATCTCTACGTACCGGACGCGAGGCTCCATAACGCTGCCTGGTAGTTTCTGTAGGAGAAAAAACACAGTCCGAACACGACGACACCGCTCAGCGTGCCGACCACGGACAGAAGCAAAAAAATGAAAAACGGTACGCCTGGTTTGGGGGGCGGCATAGCGAGCGTCACATGCTGTTCGGGGCCATTTGACGTGCTAGTCTTCGCCTCGCCCGTCAGGGGACGTAATGGCATAAAGTCTCGATCGCCAACGTGAATCACGGACAAGGATGCCTCATCGGGCGTCTGCATTTTTCTGTCAGCTCACTATTGGCGCGGTAATAGTTGTAGGGATCCATTGACGACGCAGGGGCAGGGTTATCGCTTTCTTGCGAACGCCCAGAAAGTGCTTAATATCAAGATTTTATATCAGGTGCCAGATATCGTCTGCTACGACGCGATTGGCTGCTGCCACCTGCCGCAAGTTGATTCAAGAGGGAGAAACAACCTGTGGACCTGTGTCTAGAAGTGTACGATCTCTATGGTGGAAACAACTGTCTATCGAACCCAACGAGGTAGACCGAACCAAACCGAACCCACGCAAGGGAGTTTCGTGTGCTTTCCAATATTTAGACGAAGAGGTAGCAGTTTTAATAACCGATGTCGGTTTTCACAAAGCTGAAAAATTAATACACCACGTAATAGCGTCTGCATACTCTAAACAACTGTAGTCTGCAAGTTTGTTCGGGCACGGCCGGTCTAGAGCGGTGGGTAAGGCCCCTTGATGTTTCAAAGGCAGTGCATTGTTCGTCTATGCACGTGTAACGTGCAGCCCTTGGGAGCTAGATTTTCGACGTCATGAATTTCCCAGAAGTGGCGCGTGGCACGAGCCTCGAGCAGGGCTCTGCTGCAGCTCACAGCTGCAGCTGAGCCAGCTGAGCTGGCTGAGCAGCAGAGTAGCGCAATCCTTCGAACCCCGTGTTTTGCCGACAACATGGCCGACAGAGCGGCTCGGCGCGAGTCACGTGGTACTCAGGGTTCCAGGAGGCGGCCCGCCCTATGGGAGAATACATGGAGATCGATACAACACGGCTGATTAAAAAATTAACGGCGAGTTCACACTTTTCAAAACTAGTCTGTCGTGAAGTTAGTAAAGCACTAAACACTTTGTCAAAGTTTTAATAATATCGGATGTGTGTGCAAATTTTTAGAAGGCAATTTCCAAGGCAATGGCGTTTGAAGCAGACGATTTTTGCTCGCAGCGGAGATGGGCTTTTCGGGTTGGCCGGAGCGGGTCACGTGAATGGTGTGACGTCGCCGTGTCGTCTGCTGCATGATGCCACTCAGGCAATTTAAAAAAAAAAAAGTTACGTCCTTGTATGGCACACAACTTATCGCATATTATTCTAAAATGTTTCACTATTATGTCGAAAATGATTTCCATTCCGCACATCCCCACAAAACTGCAAAAATGTTCCAAAAGCCGGGTGAATTCATGATTGAAAAGGTTTACTCCGACTTAACATAACAAATTAATAACAAAAATACTGAAGATGCCACCTGCATAGGTGGCGAAACGTCTGTACCTTTTGTTATTAATTTGTTATGTTAACCCACAAAACTGAAGAAACAACGATTTTCTCACGTTCTCCATGCATTTCTGACCGCAGTTGGAACCTCCGGGCGTTCGCCGCTAGTCGCCGAGAGACGGCGTTCTAGATTGCGCTACTCTGCTCCGAAGGCTCCGAAGTAGCAATCAATCGTTTTTGACATAATAATGGAATATTTTAGAATAATTTGCGCTAAGTTTTGTGCCCCGCAAGAACCTGACTTTTTTTAAAAAATTGCTTGAGCGGCATCATGCAGCAGACGACACGGCGACGTCACACCATTCACGTGACCCGCTCCGGCCAACCCGAAAAGCCCATCTCCGCTGCGAGCAAAAATCGTCTGCTTCAAACGCCATTGCCTTGGAAATTGCCTTCTAAAAATTTGCACACACATCCGATATTATTAAAACTTTGACAAAGTTTTTAGTGCTTTACTAACTTCACGACAGACTAGTTTTGAAAAGTGTGAACTCGCCGTTAATTTTTTAATCAGCCGTGTTGTATCGATCTCCATGTATTCTCCCATAGGGCGGGCCGCCTCCTGGAACCCTGAGTACCACGTGACTCGCGCCGAGCCGCTCTGTCGGCCATCTTGTCGACAAAACACGGGCAAAGGATTGCGCTACTCTGCTCTACTCCGAACATAGAGATCATACATACTAACTCTATGGTGCCTGGATCACGTCTTTGACTGGTGTGTTTACCGCGGCCAAAAAAGTGGTCCCTCGATTTCCGCCTGATGACGTCATAGAAGTGTCATGCTGTCGCCGGTCGCGACCCTGGTGGCGTCTCAACAGTTATGGTGTGTGTAGCAGATGCCTGTTCTGCTGCAGGTCGCTTTCCACTGTGACAGTTCACGGAAGCTAGTGCAACCGGAAGTTGGGACGCCTAACGGGACGCCGTGACGACAGCGACACTCGCGTTCGCTCGTGCTTTTTGCCAACATTTCTACGGCCAACCGCCAGGATCGCGACAGGCAACAGCATGACACTCGCGTCATTTGTTGCCACATCGGGACCACTTTTGATGTATGGGCGGGATAGGACGCTAAACACACCAGTCGAAGACGCGATCCAGGCACCATACTAACTCTAGAGGAAAAGGTCCGCCATTTTCCCATACATTCTGGCTGCCGCAAGCGGCGGATCATGCAAGCAGACCTTCGGGGTCCCAAACACGGTTACATCATCAGAGCAGTTTCGTGAACTTCAACAATCCACGAACTTACCGGTGGAAAGATATTCGCGTTCCTTTCGAAGCTTTCTTTTTGCATAGCGCGCAGATGTACGGCCTCGCGTTAACGCTAAACTAAACCATATACCCGGCTTCGCCGGTGAGGCGCGGCTGGGCACGGTTGAGGAATACGAAACTGCGCAATTATCAGATTTCCGAGATTTCGACAGAAGGGAAGTTAATGCAGCGCAATGACTTTATTGCTTTTTATAAGCGTTAGAATAGCTCAGAATTTAGTTTACAACGTTAAATTATCACTGTTTATATTGCTGAGAGTTTACACTTTTCGCGTTTACCATGGCAACGTTGCTTTCTTTCTCTCGTGTTCTGTACATAGGTACATAGAGTTATTACAATAAACGCTAGAGGCTCAGCTGGCGCTAGTGTCTATGGGACTTCCGGTTGCAAATTGAAGCAGACAGCATGCAGTCTAGATTTCCAGCCTCCCTGTGTATTCCTATGGGAAAACGCGCATGAATTTTGTCTCTTCGCCGAAAAATAACATGAACAACTTTTGTCATTTAGGTTCTACCGGATAGTATGTACCTTTATTGATATTGTGAAAGTGTAATTGCTTCAGTTACAGCATTTTTTCTTTACCACTGAACGATGTTGAACTTCGCTGTATTTCAGGCGCAAACCTCTATTCCATGGCAGGTATGTAGAAACGAGCGACAATTCTAAGCAAAATAACAATCGAAAGAAATCTAGAGTGTGTTCAAGGTTCGCCAGCATTCCGTTTGTGCTTATATATTGCTAGTATATGCCTGTCCTCTCACTATATGAAAATGACCCCGTCGTGCGCATCTTTACGAGTGGTTAAAAAAACGTTCGAAACGTAAAGAATAAAGTATGTGGGCTACGAAAGGTGCGTTTTCTCATTATTTCCTATGTTGGGCAGTTTTTATCGCGCGCCTGTTCTCTGGCTTCCCCCTATATGCAAATATTTGGAGCGTGCGGGTGATGATCGATTTGAACACAGAACAAGCATCTTCGCACATATTCGAGCAGGAAGCATAAAGCAGTACTTATTTATTATAAATCGGACTATATTACGTGACTTTCAATTTGTTGTGATCGTCTGCAAGCAGAGTTACTTATCCAGTGTTACTGCGTAGTTCTTGCCGTCGCTCTTCGTTTTCCACATGTCCTTCGTTCGTTTGGCACGTATATCCCCCATACTGGAAAGTGCTGACGCCGTGTTCGCGCTAACAGTTTCCGACAGTGCACATAAATACATGTACGAAGCGGTTTTAGCACCGTTTTTCATGCCACGATTTTTAAATAAAAACGCCGTAACTGACCAATTATTTTACCTGCGTGTCTGGGAAATGTTCCAATGTGCCTAGTAGGTACGATTTATTCGTGATATTTGCTCTTATAATCGAGCGCAGAGAGGAATGCACTCGCTTTTTTCCATAGAAATGCATTACCGGAAGTCAATTTCGGACTGCTTGCTGTCTGCTTCAATTTGCAACAGCACACTAGCGCCGGTTGAACCTCCAGCGTACATTATAATAACTCTATGGTTCTGTAGCTCTCTTTCGCGATCGTTCACTCGGGACCCCGGGTACAGTGCCTAGAAATATACTGGCACTCTACCCCCGGGTGTCGGCGCACGGGATTTGCCACTCCTCCTCACCCACCTTTACCCCCCTGACTCCGAAGGACAAGCCGAGCTACCGTAGCCGCAGCCTAGAGGTGTTGCGAACCTTTGTCGAACCAAATTTTTTGGTTGAACTTTCGGGGTTCGACTGGGTCGAACCGGTGCGACGAACCTCCGAACTTTTCACCAGTTTCACCAGATTCATTCGACCGGTTCGACTTTGTGGACAGTGTTGCTAGGCATTAATACAAGCATGTCTAGGTTTGGAGATTTTTTTTTATGCAAAGGGTTATTTTATTTTGTGAGCAGCTGCAATTAAAAGAAACTAATTCTAATCACTGAAAAAGTTAATAACTTAATCTTAGTACTGCACTAACTGAAACAGCCAATCAGCGCTACACTTAATTCATCTCTTAGCCATTACCATCCAACCCGAAGCCAACTGGCCAGCCTGTCGCGCATGCGCACAAGAGTCGAACCTCAATACAAGGTTCGTCGACCTTTTCACTAAAGGTTCGAAAACGTCGACCCTGGTCGAACTCGAACCGCGGCCGGTTCGCGACACCCCTAGCCGCAGCTGTGGCAGCGAATCAAGGTTGTGTGGTTCGTATCTCGACGTAAGGAAAAAATGCATGCTGAGCGACGGACTTCAGCGTGCGCGCGCAGTAAAACAGCAGCAGGCAGCGGATCGCTGGAACTGGACCCAAGATAATGTTGTTGAAAAAACCGATGATGATGATAGTGGCTCACGTGACTGCCACTGTCCAACTATGTGCTCTCTAGAGCATCGGAGCAGAGTACCGTAAAGCCCCTTGATAAAAGCGTTTTTTACGAGTACCGCCAACCATTGTTGTGGAAGCGCGCGAGACACGTGCCATGAGCGGGTGCTCCGCCGTCATTCGCTTCCAAGGCCCGCTCATTTCAGTGCTGCGCCGCCATTTGCTTCCAAGGGCCGCTCGAGACATGGGCCTCGTGCACTCGCGCATTTGACGCTACGCTACTTGCAACAAGCGCAAACACATCGAGGGGCTTTAGTAGAGTGCCTCAATGTTGCTTGCCGGCTGCCAACAACATTGAGGCACTCTAGGCTTTAGAGTACCGCAACGCCGTCTCTCGGCGACTAGCGGCGAACGCCCGTGGGTTCCAACTCCGGCAAGGAGGTTAGAAGTACTAGGAGGGGGCACGTTGCAATATTGGTGAAGCCTAGTCATAAAAAGTTTAAACGATTTTGTGCCCAGCGTGACCGCAGATCTCTCTGGCGATTGGTGCGTGTGACATGTCACGTGTGAGATGGATGGTTGATGGTAGCAGGACTCCTTGCAGGCTTGCGCGCGCTCCGTCCGGTAGGTTTTATCAGATCGAAGGCTACACTGTGGTGTATTCTAGTACCCCATAGCAAGACGAAGGCTAGGTACGGTAACGTGATGTGGTCACGTTGGCATGGTAAGTGAGGAGAGTAAGGAGGAAAATGAGAAAGAGGCGAGGCGTCAAGGGAGCATGGCTTGTGGAGGCTACGCGGCCGACGTCATGCCCTCTCCTACCCTTCT